GTTGATACAAGGTCACCTTTCTTGTTCATCAAGGGGGGTATATAAATGTCCAGATTTTGTGCTAAAGTGTGTAGCCTCCAAAACAATTAAACTTTTTTTTTTCCATCAGGATTTCTGGAGAAGAATAATGATCTACTGTACAGAAACCTGAAAGAGGTAAGAACAAAAAAGGAATGCTGTTCTCTTAGGTTACCTTGCTTGAAGCAGAAACATTTTGCAGAAGATGTATTTAATGTCTGTAGCAAACATGAACATACATTTCTCCTTAGCAATGTTCTTTAGGCGCCCACATGTGTGTCCTTATAGCTGTGCTGTTCAAGCTTAGAAGGATCACAGTAGAAATAGCATGGCTGCTAAATAAGGCAGCTTTTCACTTCTGTTTCAGGTGCTGTGCAACTCTAAAAATGGTATTGTTAGAGACTGCTTTTTACTGTCAGAACTAGACAACAGGAGGAGACCAGAGACTGTGAGTTTCATCTTTAGTCTTAACTCTGAATATAAACTCAACTTCCCAAGTCTTGATTTAACCACTGATCCTGTCTTTAGTCCTGAATTCAGTGGGGTTTTTTTGCTGGTGTTACACCCCTGCTAGCTTCCTGGTAGTTGAACAGTGATGTTGCTGAGACAGCAGCTAGCAAAGTGACATACCTTAATGTTGTTATTAATGCATCCTTCTAAAATGAGCCCTGTGCCTAGCATCCAACAGTAGTTTCTGAAGGGCTGCCTTGTATGTCCAGCTGCGTGGCAGGGGTTCAAATATTCCAGCTAAGCACTCTGTCCAGGTAACTTATGATTGACTATGCTTCAAAAGCTTCGCAGTACTCATGCATAGGTCAGCCTTTCACTTACAGTTTTAAGATGGGTGCAGGGAACGAGTTGATTTCAGTTACTGCAGTGATGAGTTCCAAAGCTAAGAAAGTTCTTTCAATGTCATCTTAGGTTGCAACCCAGTTCAAAAACAGTCTGATGAGTCTTATAGAAATCCTGATGTCCAAGGAGCCTTCTTATGTCCGATGCATTAAACCGAATGAGAACAAGGAGCCTGGTAAGACATTGGGCTGAAGACACAATTGAGATAAAGGAATAAAGTGAGGGAGACTTTAGCTTGTAGCTAGGTACAGCATATATATGGGGGGTGTGGGTTTGTAAATTAAAATCTTAGTTAAGCTAGCAGCAAAGTCATCACCTTGGGTAATTGTGGATTTGATTCCTTCCTTATTTGTCCCAATACATGGACAAGTGAATGAGCTTCCACAGACAGTATTTACCAGTGAGTACATGTGTTCTTACTACAGGGAAGTTTGATGATTATCTGATCCGACATCAGGTGAAATACCTGGGCCTGATGGAGCATTTGCGGGTGAGGCGAGCTGGCTTTGCGTATCGGCGGAAGTATGAACTCTTCTTGCAAAGGTAAGTGGAACTGTTTTGCCCTCTAGCCAGATAAACCTGCCCTCCCGTGACAGCTTCAGAGCAAGGTTTGTTTAAATGTCAATTCCTAGTGATATGAGATGCAGAGGTGTCTGCAGACACTCTTCTGCATCAAAGATAACCTTTGTATGTGTCTTTTGTCTGTAACCATTTTGATCTGCTTTGGCATCTTCTGCCTTGAATAAAGCAGTAGGAATTTTTTTCGGGGGGGGGGGGGTGGTGGGGGGGGGGGCAGTTTCAGGAAGGGGTTCCTCAAACATAAAGTCATGTATGTTGATGTCTTGCTGATCTTTCAGGTATAAATCCCTCTGTCCGGCTACCTGGCCACATTGGCATGGGCCAGCAGCTGAGGGTGTGGAGAGGCTCATCAAGCATATTGGTTACAAGCCTGAGGAATACAAATTAGGAAGGTAAATTTCCTTTCTCTGGCTGTGATCTCTGTTGTTCAGCTGCATGGTGCTTGCCATATTTGATCCTCTGTCTTGTCTGACTGCAAGCCACCATGTGGCCCTTCCCGGAGAGCCACAAGATGTAGTGGTGTGAACAGATCCCTCAGCTTGGCTCTTGCTTGACCATGTGAACTGGGCGGACCTGTCTGGGTCTGCAAACCTAACAGCTTCTGATAAGTGACCTCTTTAAAAGGCCCAAGTAAGCTCACCCTGAAGGCATACAATGCACAGAGCAAGGGGATAAATAAAAAGCCCAGGTGCATAAATTTCCTCTTTATTTTTACCTGCCTATTTCTATGGAAGTTTGAGTCCAGCTGAGTTTCTTCCATCTCTGGGTTAGGGGAGATGGGCTGCCTTGCTTCAGCTCCAGGTCTCCCTGCTTGCTTGGGCAGCCTGAGGCAATTTGCCTGCCTTAGGCTTGAGTTCTTTTTTTAACTGCCTTTTGCAACCACTCCTGAACCACAACTTGTCCTCCTTGCTAAAGACAAGGGCAAGGCAGGGCTCTAATGTCACCTTCAACCTATAGCTATCAGAACCCATGAATTAATGGCTAGGATAATAGCTAAGATAAGGAAGCCTGTTTTCACTGGGTTTCAGCTGCTTGTCCTGAGCTCCACAGTTCCTGGGAAATTTGCAGGGATCACAGTGTTGAGAATTAGAAGTCATGTAAAGGCAGAGGCCTCCCCACTGCACCTTCCAGGGCATCTGGGACCTCGTGCAGTAACTGGTGTTTTGCCTCCTTCCCTCTCCCTGCCACCCTTTGCCAAGTCCTTTGCAGCCTTTCAGGATATGCAAGCTAGACAAATGAAGACTGGTTATGGAAGGAGATGTAACTTGTCAGTATTACAGCTAGTTGGAGGACTCTGAGCTTGGTTAGGGCAGCTGAAACAATGGCTCACTGTAAGCTGTTTATGGTCTCTTTTTCAGAACCAAAATATTCATTCGGTTCCCAAAGACTCTGTTTGCTACTGAAGATGCATTTGAATTCAGAAAGCACTTGTTAGGTATGGTTCCAGTTCCCTTTATCTATAGACTAAGAATCAGAGCCTGGGTGAACTGTGTTTCTGGGCTCCAGGTTCCTGCAGCAGATGCACCATGGTGAGAGCTGAGACCCCTGGTCTGTATAGCTATGGAGAGTCCAAGGAAAACTTAGTAATCTTTTTCTAGGGTGGGGAGAAATGACTAGCTATATTGCTTGAGTTCTAGACACGTATCTCCTTTAGAGCTCCTTGGTACTACTAGTAACTGTTGGTCCATGTCTAGATGCACTAAGTACCTTTCCCCTGGGATTGGTATACCACCTGTCTCATCCTACCTGTTTGTACCTGCTTGAAATGTATACATGGGTGGGGCTGCCTAAAGGCACATTTACCTATGCGGGCTACTTCTGGTCCTGTTGGTGTTTTGGCACCTTTGTTCTTTGCTGATTGTGCAGACCTTCCTGTGCCTTAGCATGTGTTGTCCGATTTCTGCGAGCACAGCTCTTGAACGCTGTGATCCTGTAGATACGAGCAATGTCTCTGCTTTTTTTTGCCAGTTTCAAGACTACAGGCCAAATATAAAGGATGCCTTGGAAAGAGAGAGTACAAGAAGAAGAGAGAAGCAGGTATGGGCTCTGGAATTCAGGATTTTCTTCTTAGGGCTGTGCTTTCCAATAGGAGTTGTAGCTTTAGGAGGTCACGAATCCATGTTGCTGCAGATAGCACTTGCAGCTTCCCTGTGGAGCTGTGGGTGCTGGGGTCAGATGCAGGTGACATCTGTTTGAAGCGTATTCATAGAGGTCCCTTTAGTTCTGTTTAGCTCCTCACATCATGTGCTGCTCTTGGCCTCATGCAGGCATCAGGTGTGTGAGCAGCTCTGTGCAGCGGCAGTACCCTCTGTCATGCATGTGGGGATGTTCTGGGGTACTGAGGGAATTGCTCGCTAACTGCTAGGGAGACAAACCCTCTTATCGCAGTAGACAGGCTGATAAATAATGCTGCAGGCCCAAAGGCCTGCTTTCTGAGATGAGGTACTTGGTGTGTACAGCCTTGATGTTGAGCTCTACAGTGCAGGTAGTGCCAGATCCATTATTATGGAAAAGAAAAAGTTCTAAAATTATTCTAAACATCAGCTGATGGGAAGAGCTGCAAAAGAGCCAGTTATAACTTCTGCTGTGTGAATTTAAAGGATAGTATGGCACAGGACCTCTGATGCTAGTAAAAGGACCTGATTAATTCTTGCAGCTATCAAGCTGGAGGCTTGTTGGCGAGGAGCTCTGGCACGGAAGGAGGCCAAGAAGAGGACATGGGCAGTTCAGATAATCAGGAAGTAACTATCACTGTGTGGTGGTCATGGGGAGGGTTGTGGGTCACAGCCTGGTGTTGGTCTCTGGACAATGATTCCAGAATACTGACAGTAGAGTGAGTCAAAACCATCTCCTTCACACCCATTTCTAAGCTCTCGTGGTAGTTAGGACAGTTGCCAGATGGGGTTGATCAGAAATGCCTGTCACCTCTTCATGAATTCTCTGACTTGCACAAATTTCTGTTGCTCTACTACTTTATATTGGAACAGAGGATCTCCAAACCAGTCTTTTGCATGCCTGTCCATTCTCTTATATATGGTCCTCCCTCTCCAGTCCCTTAAACCCAGCTCCTGAATACTGCATCAGACGTAGAGCTGATCTTCCTTTCTAACTCCAAAGCACTGTATTTTGGTCAACAGAACTTGGAAAAAAATGTTCATGTTTGGAATATTATAAAGCTTAACATTTCCATTGCTGTAACACAGGCGTACCTGAGTTAATGTCAATGATCTGTTAGCCTGTTGTGTGCCTTCTGTGTCTTGCCTTTCACTTCCATTGATTTCTGAAGGTAACATGTAAGTTCTGGTTTGGACATTTTCTGTAGATTCATAAATGGCTTCATCAATCGGAAGAAACCCCTTTGCCCAGAGAACACTGAATTTGTGCAGCTTGTGCAGTACAACTACTTGATGAAGCTCAGAGACCATGTTCCAAAAAATGTCTTGGACAAGAGCTGGCTCCAACCTCCTTCCATCCTGGAAGAGGTGAGGGTTGCTGCAGGCTTTGGGAGAGGTGAAGATGGCTTCTGTTCTGTGGTCACTTGTGTGCATGCTTCATGTTGGAAAAGAGCAGTGGTCTCCTGCTGGCTTGTCCTCTGTTCAGGCATGATGGCAGAGCCTTTGGAAGACCCTGAGATCCTCTGTATTTGGGGGAGGATGGGAGTGGGAGGAATGGTGCTGTCACTTAAGTTTCCAAGGGAAAGGAGGCAGCTTGGTACTTTTGTTTTAAGGAATAGAAAGGAAGATGCACTGACAGAAAAGTGAACTCATGAGCCCTATTAACGACAAAATTAATCCCACGATGTTTTAAGCTTGCGGCACAGACAGGCTTGTAGCCTTTCATCTTCTTTGGGCTTTGGCAGGACAGGTAGCCTCAGTGCATGAATTGGACAAACTCTAATTGCTTCCAGCAGAACTCTCACTTAGCAACAGCTGCTGACATTTGTTATGGCCCCTTTGATCCTGCTTAGCCTGGCTCGGGACCAGAGCAGGTCACTCCTATGCCAGCTGCGGCTGGTGCTCAGTGGGTGAGGTGGGCGCAGTAAATCAGAAAGCTCAGGCGGAAGGTAAGGTGAAGAGCATTGCTAATGGTATGCTATGTGTGCAGTGCCGCAGTCTCGTCTGGGGGTGACAGATGGGGTTTGCTGCTTTTAGTAACTCTAATAATGACTCAGCCACTTGGTGTTCTGCATCCTTCAGCTGCTGCTGGGCGTTAACCCTTCTCTGGTAGCAAAGCTCTTTGATAGGTGGGGTTCTAGGCTTGGGGAGCTCAGATGAGTTGTGACTAGATGTTAAAAACAGCTTGCACCAAGCAAGTATTTGTTAGGACTGCAGCAGGAGTTGTTTGCATAACTTCACTACTTTTTCTTCTTTTTTTTTTTAATGTAGACATCAGAGATGCTACAGAAAATCTGCATTAGGAACCTAGTGAGGAAATACTGCCAAGGTGTTACTGCTGAGAGGAAGGTGCAGGTAACTAATACGTGGAATGCAAATGTGCAAGTTAAAACACACTGTGCATGTGTGATATCCGCTCTCTGTGAACGGTCTGAAATGGACTGCACCTTCTGACACACCGCTGCTCCTCTCGCTGAGTAAACATTCCTGAGCCTGGAGTCAGGTGTTTGTTTTGGTGGCACTTGCAATGTACAGTGCAGTTCTCCTACAGACATGTGGGTCTTAATCTTATGGCACTAAAACCATACTTCATGTAATTAGAAAGGATCCATAAATAAGAAAAGATCCGTAGGACTGTTTAGTCCATACTACCCTTTTATTTGGTAATACAGGAATAACCTAAAGATGTTGGAAGAAATGCAGCATGAGTCAGGTAGATACTGCATGAGTAAAAGGATGATGTTGTGTAGTAACAGTGCCTACATTATAACTGCTGATGTGGCTAATGGAATGGAGAAACTCGAAGAGGATAAAGGCTGTTCCTTCTCAAAACAGTTACAGCAAAAAGCGGTAGCAAGTGCTGTTTTCAGAGGGAAGAAGGAGGGCTACCTGCAGAGTGTAAACCAGCCTTTCATGGACACCCGACTAAGTGAGTACACAGCAAACCCCTGAAGGACTCAGCCACATGGTTCTTGCTCAGGAAAATTCTGTTTGACAAAACAGATTCAGTTTCTAAGAGAAATTCCCATCTGACAGAGGCAGTATTATCTGCTGCATTTGGGCCCTACCATTTAAATTCCTTTGCCCTGTCATGTCTAGTGACGTAAACGTGGCAATCAGTCTGCCAGACTTTGCTCTCAAACTGGAATCCCTCCTGGGCCAGAGAGCCATAAACCCAAGCAACATCCCCTATGGGCTGGGATGGATCAGGATCATCCTCGCTGTGCTGGATGGAGCAGGGAGGCTGAGCGGGAATGTTGCAGTGCAGCATGGCCAGCTGTGGGGATCCAGCCCTACGGACTGGAGCTGCTGGGAAGGAGAGATGTGAATCTTGGGAATCCATGTAGTTGGTGTTAAGCACATAAAAGGCATGCAAAGAAAGCCCTAGTAGCACAATGGCAGGGCAAGGGATCTGGGAGACTGGGTAGGGTGTGGTAGCAGTGAGATGCTGGGGTCATTACTGGAAGCTCTCAGAGAGCTTCAGCTGGAGCGCTGTGCAGAAGGAAAAACGCTCTGGGTGTTTCTCAGCACAAGTCCTCCTGTGCCAGGGCCTGAACCAAGAACAGACCCAAGAACAGCCAGTAACTCCCAGTGTGAATTACTTGTCAGGCAGGAAGAATCACTGAAATGGGTTTAGGAGTAGCTGGAAGTGAACACCCCCAGTTTAGAAGGGAGTGTACCAAGGGGACAAGGACAAATGGGATAAAGACAATTAATGCAGCTCTCTGTTTTGCTGGTGGGAGTGGTGGCCATCTGTTGCCTATACTCAGTTTATCTTTCTGGTTTGCTCCTCAGAAGAGAATGATATAAACCCCAAAGTACTGCAGCTCATCCACGGTGAGAAGATCAAGGTAAGGGAAGGACAGCTGGAGCTCAGCAGCCCTCGAACCAGCTTCACTGGAGTCCTGGTTGGTCACACAGACTGGGTGGTCCGTGACACCTGAGGCTGTCTTGCAGCCATGCCTATGCAGGAGGGCAGGCTGCCGAATAGCAGTGTAGCGAGTATTTCCTTGCTTTTAAATTGGAGATGGGTCTCAAAATGCACCTAGACAAAAATTATTTAAGATTGCTGTTATTAAAGCTTAAAAAGCATTATTAGCCCTATATGAGCTGTAATGGGCAGGAGAAGTGCAGGTGTGTGCACTGCACTTCCCATGGTTATTGCCCAGAGGGCAAAGGTAAACCATCTTTCTCAAAGCATGTTTCTGCCATCTGAATTTCCAAATATAAAAAAACCCAGATGATTCTAAGCAGAGGTTGGCAGCAGCTGTTGTGAGTTGGGATCTGCAGCTCCGTAGTGCAGTGCTGCTCCTCGCTGAACTGCTTCCAGCACAGGACCCTGCGGGAGTGAGAAATGCTGATACCACCTTGTTGTTTTCAGTATGTGACCCCCGTGATAAAATATGACAGGAACGGGTTCAAAGCACGAGACCGGCTACTTGTTCTGACCCAGTCCTCGGCATACGTGGTGGAAATGGCTAAGATCAAGCAGAAAATAGACTATACCACTCTGAAAGGTAATGATGGAGGTCAGTGTGGGGCTTCCCTGTCTGCCAGTGACCCCGGGGGTGGAAAGATTAACTCCTGAAACTTGGTCTTTCCAAAGATATTTGAAGCAATGATCTACCTGAGAACACTTTTTTTCTGGGGGATGGATAAAGGGTCTGTGTGTTAGCGTGCAGTTCCTTGAAGTATAAATTATGAGTAAGAGGACACAGTTCTTTGAAATACTTAAATGCAGGAGGACATCACTTTCTGCTGAAATAGAGGGGAAGAGAAAAAAACCCAACTTTCCTACACCATTCTGCAGGTATTTTTTAATCTTGCCATTGTCTGAACTACAGTCCAGGGGTAGAATATATATTTTCTCCCTCCTCCCTTACCAAAACAAAGGTAGCATGCAAAGGTATGGAGCGAATAACTAATGCACTGTGTTTAAATAACTGCTGTTGGAAATGTGTTACGGACAAGTGGATGACAGAGAAAGTGATCTTCAGAAGGTATTCTGAAAACTGGGAAGATGATGATGGTGGTGTGGAACTGTCTTTGGTAGTTTTTCCTCTAATTCTTGGATTTCTTTTGAAGGTATTTCCACCAGTAACCTGAGTGATGGGATTGTAGTCATTCATGTTCCCGAGGACAACAAACAGAAGGTAGAAAATTGAAATGTAGCTACTATGAGCTTGTGATCAGAAGTAAGGTCTTGTAGGTGACAATTCTAATATTTTCCTATGAAATACTGGGATTACACAATTACTGATGTTTACTAATTATGTAATCAGCTAGACTTTTACATTCTTGCTGTCTCACCATTTCACTTTCCTTTTTTCTTAGAGCCAAAGTCACTGTAAATCCTAAATAGTCCCTGGAAAGGATGTTTAACAAACCAACTTGTACCTGACTGGTTTAATTGCTGTTTAGTTATCGGTCCCCTCTGCACAGCACAGCAGTCACTACTCTGGCATTAGGAGGGAGTTTCTCTGAATGCACAGCTGCTGCGTGGCTTATGTGCTGGGACGATGCCAGGTGACTCCATGCCTCTTTTGTTTCCAGGGAGATGTGATACTTCAGTGTGAGCACATCTTTGAGATGATCACTAAACTCTGCATGCTGGCCAATAAGCAAAACCTTGTTAAAGTTGTGCAGGGAAGGTAAGGAAGGAAGTTGAATGGGTAGTATTGTGCACACTATATTTATGGAAGAACCTGCTTCAAAAACCTTTAGGCCTGGACTACTAACATCAAAACTATTAACATCACCCCAGCAGACAGTGCCCTCAACTGATTAGAGGTCTGTTGTGCAGTAGCACAATTGTTTTCATGGCTTCCTTTCATAGGCACAGGGGAGACAAGACGGGATGCATGAGAACAAGAAAACAGTAAAAATCATTACAGCCTCTTTCCCACCCTAATGGGGCTTGCTTCCGTGAAGGCTGTGGTTGCACCTTGCTAGGTGTGCTGCTCTGCTTTAAGACCTGCCCGTGATCCATCTGCTTAAAACCCAAACTGGTTTATAGGTGACTGTACTTGAAAAACACTTTTTTCAGGCTTCTGCTGATGTGACCTGGGTGTGTGGTTGTGGGTTTAGTGGTTTCACAATGGATCTCATTAGCACGAGCTCTGAGGAAAGCCTGCTGAGCTGAGCCTGTGGGTCACTTCAGGATAAATGCTCCTCTCCCTAAAAGATTGAGAAGGCCTTGAAATGTGATTGCTGAGCACAGGAACCTTCTCAGTCACGCCACCAAGCTAATGGCAGGTGGATGCAGTCTGTCTCTCAAATCTTTGCATGAATTGAAACTGGCATATGAAACCTGTACTTCTGCTCCAGCTTTTCTCTCTGGCCTTTGCATTTCAATTGTAATTAGATTCTGTGTGTTCAGTGGTTTTCTCCAGGTCAGATCTGCTTATCTTCTAGTGCTTAATTGCACCAGGAAAATTCAAATGCCTGGACCAGGCAGGCATGCTCCATTCATCAAACCCTTCTGGGTTGTGTGTTATAATGCAATTGTTTAGGAAATTTACCTAAGCTGGAGGGCTCTGATCTTCTAACCTAACGAGATTTGCCAAGGGAACAGAAATAAAGGGGGCTTAGAGTAAAGCCTATTGTGAAGAAAGCATCTAATCAGTAATTCTGTCTGTATTTGCAGTCTTCAGTTTCGCATTGGCTCCGGCAAGGAAGGGACAATGGTGTTTACTGTTGGGCAGGAGCCTCAGGTCTTTAAAGCCAAAAATGGACAACTAACAGTGGTAAGGCCTCATCTAAGCACTGGGAATGTGACTTGTGCTTTCTCCTTTGATGCTCAACCCCCGTAGAGAGCGCAGCTAAGCTCTAGCAAGGGCCCTTTGTATGAGTTCAGGAGGACTTGATTCCTCTTACAGAGCAGAAGTGTGCATGATTTAACTATCCAGTCAGTATCTACCTACATAAGATAATGCATAATAGATGGTTGCTGCTGTGTTGGGAGTTGCAGCTACGCACTTTGCACATGAATTGTCACTGCTACTTGCTCACTCAGGCTAGCATGGGGAGAGGGAGCAAGGCTCTCTCCTGGCTTGGTCGTTTAGAGAATTTAGCCTAAGCCCAAATTCAATGTGCACCTGCAAAATGAGGACTCGGGTGAAGTTTGCCACCTCTTGTTGCCTCCTTCAACTGAGTTACTTCTGAAATCAGTTGGGGGACAGAGGAAAAGCATTTCTTGTCACCCAAGCAGGTTGTCTGAGAGGGAAGGATCTGTCTGACCTAGTGGCAATCTCAGCAGAACTGCCACAGAGGGGAGAATAAATTCTGACTCCATATGTACCTGTGGAAAACAGGGGAGCTTTGCTTCTATCCTTGCTTGTGGTCAGGTAGGGAGGTGTGCTAAACCTGCCTCCGTCAGCTCACAGCTGCAAGGCAGTAAATGGCAAGCGTGGCTGGAGGAACAAGGAAAGATGTGGGTCTCTGCTTCACCAGTGAGCTCAGCGTGTTTGGTACTGTTAGCTGACAGCTCCAAGAAAGGATTATGTGCTGAGGTGCAATACCCTTGGGCACTGGTTAGCTGTCCTTGCAGTCCAGAGATTGAAGGGAATGGTCTTGATATGCCAGCTGTTAAATAGAAACAACACAACCTCTCTTGCCACAGACAGGACACGTCAAGGACATAACATATGTACTTAATGACTCCTTCCTTTTCTCGTCCCAGGTGTCAGCCCAGGCAAAGTCTTGATGAGAAACAGTTCCTGTTCCTGGTCACTGTCTTGGCTAGGAACAGAAGGGAGCCTGCAGGATGAGACCAGCACTCGCATCTCCTCTGGAATCTTTTGATGCCATAGGGCTGCTGTGATTTGAGAGTTTGCTTGCATCTTTTAGGCTCTTTTTTATAGCTTAAAACTATTCAACTATAGCTAAATAAATTCCATTGTGTTGCTGTAACATTCCAGTGAGCATAGATGCTCCTTACACACTGTCACAGGGAAATGTTTAAACCAAAAGTTGCAGTTCCACATGTAAAATGTCCATCTCTGTGTGCTCAGTAAGAGCTGAGAGCTCTGACCAGTCAGGAAGGATTTAGAAGCAAAAAGGCTTCTCTAGCTGTTTGAGTCACAACTTGCCAGGAGAACTGCATCAAGGGCAGGTCAATGAAGTTAACTCTGGTCTGAAAACACCTTTTCTCTCAGGCAGACTGGCAAAGCCTTTAAAACCAGCAGCTAGTCCTTCAGCATGTGTACAGGTGGTTAAATGTAGGAGTAGGGCTGGTACTGGTATCTTTGAGTTGGTGCACCAGCATATGAAGCTGCTTATCTGGAAATCTCAGTAAGCTGCTTTCTTGTCTACTCTGACATGGGGGAAGATCTTTGCTTTTAGAGTAACGCTGTCCTGGTTCTCCCTGCGCAGCAGCTATGCATGGTGCAGTGGAAGCAAAACTATAAAAGATGACCAAAATGCCTCCTCTTAAAGAGGGATGTGCTGGCTTGGTGCAATCCAGTTCAGAAGAAACCAGCCTCCTGCTGCTGAAGGATCTTCGTCTCTACCTATGGAGCTGGACTCCACTCACTCAAGAGCATGGTAGGCACTGCTGTTCCTGTGAGGTGTACTGGGGCAGGTACAAGGGGAGAGGGTGAGAGACAGGAATTCCCTCTGCTCCCTCCTGCCTGGAAGCTGCAGCTGTACTGCCACTTGCCGTGTTCATAGCGCTTACTCTGCTGCCTCATGTTGAGGCAAACTTGTGTATCTCCTGCTCCAGTTTGCTTTGGCTAGGTTGAAACTACAGCCTGAAGATCCTTGACTTGCTGCCTTTAAATCCTGGGGTCTGCAGAGTCCTGAGAGCCAGATTGCTGGTGCCTCTGCCGTGAGCAGTGCCGGGAGGTAAAACTAACAACCCAGGGGAGGATGATGTCTGGTGTCTTTCTGAAAGTTCCTTCCAGCTCCATGGACTATGAGGACAGCATGCTTCAAATGAGTAATAAAGCAACTCACATGTAAATATGAAATATCTTCTGATTTATTGTGTTATATTTAAAAAAAAAAGTACATATCGCAAACATCAACCATACACTGAAATCCAGCTTAAGCTTTTTTTGTGCATAAGTATAAAGTGGGAAGGAATGATTGTACAGAACAGATGAATGTGCTGCTATTGTCCAAGAAACGGAACAACTCCATTAAGACTGAAAGGTTCTGCCTGCCCTTTGCTCTAAGGTAAGACTGGAGCCTGGAGCCTTCTACAAGGGCTCTAGCCAGGTCATGTCCTGTAGCAGGTGGGCTCAGGCTGGGATCCAAAACCTGCCTTATGGAAGTACAGGAGCAGCTGCTTTGGTGCTACAGCTACACAGATATGGGTGGAGTAAACACCCTGTCAGGGAGCGTGACGTCAGTGGCTGGTGGTCACTCTTGCCTCTACTGTGCAGCCCTAACTGTCTTACAAGCTGCAGATTGTAGTCCAGCTTGTCTGCATTATGCTGATAGACAAATCACTTCCACAAGTAAGATTTTAGTCAGCTCTACTCTGCTGTACTGTCACTATTAGTGTCTGTTGTGGGCTGCTGGAGAATCAGACAGGTCCGTGCTCCCCGTTAATACGAGGTAGGCCTAGATAATCTAAAGAGCTGCTTGTGACCAGGCCAGCTGTCCTGTACCCCATCTTCACCTGAAAGCTGCAAAACCATTTACAGTAAAAAGGCTCAAGAGCTGAGAGCATTTGTGCAATGGCATTAACTAAGTGTCTCTCTCCACAGACCAAGGACAAGTGGCCAGTAGGTAACGGACGTTCCAACACGACAGCAGTACATCTTTACTACACAACTACAGCACACAGAGGGTTACGGCAGGAGTGTGTTAAGGCAGAGTCTGCCCATAAATGCAGGAACGAAACTGAAACTTACTCAAACTCTCCTGGAGTGACTTACTAAACCAATAGCTATATAAACCACTGTACAAAGATTAAAAATAATCATCCCCTGTTTTTTTTATGAACTTAGTTTGCAAAACCTGAAAAAGGAAATCCTGAAGCCAGTTAAGAATCTATTTACAGAGACGTTAATCACATAGATGCGATCTGTCAGTTGCTTAGCACTGGTGTCAACATATGTCACCTCCTGGAGCTGAACCTGCTCTTGCACCACAGGACGTGACTGGATTTTGTTTGAGCAGCCAGTGCTGGGTTGCTGGAGTCTCCTTGCGCTGTATGGGGAAAGCAGGTAGTTCAGCACGGCTGAGGCTGAAGGTGGCCTGTCCCTCCTCCCTCACAGGAGAGAGCCAGTGCTCTAGCGTTAATGAAGCAAGCAGGGTTTGCTGCAGGACTATCAGCAGATTCTACAGTAATCAGCTGGCGTTTGCTTTTTGCCCACTGATGGCTGGCAGGAGCACAGTGGGGCTGTTGAGACATGGGAGTTAGACTGAATGGCTTTACATAGCGCAGAGTCTAGACCCCTTTGAGGGCAGGAGGTCCGTTACAGATGCTCAGAAACCCAGAAACAGCCCAGTGACATACCAGTAAGTGTCAAAGTACACAGTGCTGGAGAAACAAAGCAATTCAGAGGACTTTCCGTCCACACTCCCCAGCTTATCACTTAAGAAAGGTAAGAAGGGAGAGGCACTGGGTCCTTCACAACAACTATCTGCACTATGGACTTCTACAAACCCCAAATGTGTTGCAAACACATGTAAGTACAGCTCAGAATAGAAGCCTGTAACTGTCAGGACATAGGTGAAGCTGCTGAACTACAGTATAACTGACACATCTGTTTACTGTTGAGCTCTTATAAATCAGTAGCTGAAGAAGTACAAGTAGAGGCGACAGGTACAAGTTACAGACACCAGCTGTCTGTAACTTAGAAAAGTCTTTGGTTACTAGAAAGATGACCTCAGTCTAACTTTGAAACCTTTTTAGCTTTACTTGATGATCCAAAATTGTACCACTGAGCAAACGCTTAATAGTTTATTTAGCCTCTACAGACAAGCTATACATAGTTGGGGATGTAACCGTTATTTGAAATAGAAGCATTGGAGTAACGTAGCTGGTGATGCTGACAACGCCTTTGGTTTTTAAAATGTTAACATGCCATTAACAGCCCTGAGCCAGGAGTAGGAATCCTTACAGCAGGAAGTTGGGCAAAAACAAATAACCACCTCACTGAGGAACAGGAACATGGAGCTGCTGCTCTGTAGGAGATGTCTGGCCATTAAAACCAGCACTAGATATTCCAGATGAAGGGTCAAAAAACTCTAGACTAGGCCAAAGCACTCTGGTGTCTGCCAAGGTGCCAGCCTGATTGCAAGTTTAAGACTTCCTACATTGGGTTTCTCTCCCTCTCAGGATTTGTTACATTAACCATTACAGCTGTGGCTCTGCTCATTGTCCTTTAGCATCCAGTTCTATTGAATAATACATGATCTTCCACTATAATTGTTACTTGACTCCACAATAGGCAACAAGAGACAAGGAGGTAGATAACATTCATTTATAATAGAGAAAACTAGACTACCTAGGTCTTCTCTACGCAGCATTTTAGCTCTGCCCTTTCACACACAGCTGCCACTTCTGAAAAGACATGGGATATGCTCAGGATAAAGTCAAACAAGGAATAACTGCCTCTGTGCCACTGCCTACTCCTCTTCCCCATGGTACTCGTGTTGCCCTTGCTCAAAGCAAGACAATGCTCCTGTATCGGTTACAGAACTGAACTACGGCTGCTGGCCTCCTACCTACGCTAGGCTGGCATGGAGTATTTGAACATGTACTGACTACTGCTTTACGTGTAGTAAAGCAAGCACAGCTTACTGACCTGTGAGCTGATGGAAATAAACTCCCCAGCTGAGACCCGGGGTCAGGCAGAAGTTCTAAGTGCTAACTGGTAGCAACACCACCCTAAGGAAAAGCAATTGCATACAATCTGTTTCTGATCCTGTTTTGGAGGAATTTTAGCATCTTCCACCCTTGAACTGCACAGATAAAGTAGGGGTGCATCTCCACAGTTCAGTGCTGTAGGAAGCTCCTCCGAACCCTTTGGGGAGCAGGCCCCAAGAGCTGTAGGGAGCCACAGCCAGCCACCCAGCAAGCCGAGCCCAAGCAGCTCCCCCTGCTCCCTCCCACCGCTCCAAGAGGGCTCCCTCTGCCCTCCAGCACTACAGAAATCGAGTCAGCACATGTCATTTGTCCTTCTGGGAGTTACGCTGAGGCACTTCTAACCTACCAACCCCATCACCTACAGGCCTGGGAGAAAGGGAGCTCTGGAGTAGCTCTGGTGCGTTTAGATCACTGCATTTCTCCCACGCCGGAATGCCTAGGAGGAGACAGGGTCAATGACAGCCTGGGGGGAAGGTATATGGCTGACTGAGCTTTTGTTTGTTTGTTTTTTGTTTTGTTTTGTTTTTAAAGTGCAGGATAATTACTAAAGCCAAAGGAAGCCAGCCCTCTTCCTCTCTAGCCACAAGACAAGAGTGCTAAAAATTCAGGGCATTTCTCCAGATGCTCCATAGGTCCTTACAGTATCTATCGTATGCCCAGTAACCTTATTTATTCTTGTCCTAGAACTACTGCATTTAAATACCCCAAATAATCTAATTTGTTACAAAATGTAATTTACAGACTTTGCTGAACAGAAGTTAAACCGCCTGGTCCTCTGCTGCAGATAATCGATCAGATGAAGGGCAGCACCTTCCAGACAGAGCTGCACAGTCTGCGGCTGTCGCTCGGCTCACTGATGCAGATGGGCCCTGTCATCCGGACGTTTAATATGAATTCTTCGCACGCGTTCAATGCGCTCTCGTTCCTCATCTTCATCTAAGTGATGGGAGCGGCCAGCTGCCCCTCCTGTGGCTTCCAAGAGCGCGTTATCAGGTCCCCTCCCATCCTGGGACTCGTAGAGCAGAATGTTCAGTGTCTCCTCGTAAATGCGGGCTTCTGGAAACTCCACCTGCCCACCCAAGAGAAA